TTGAAACTGTCTCATTGCTATCTGTTTATCAATAAAACTGTAGAAAAAAATTAAAAACAACTAAATTTGAGGATGAAAAGAAAAATGAAAAAAAAAATAAAAAATAAAAACCAGGAACCTCAACCAAGGGTATATTTAGGCGTTATTTCTAAGTCTTTGTTTATTTCCCTGCTTCCTCTCCCTGCGCCTTCCTCTCTTGATGGAGGCTACAAGTACTGATCTTCTGAAACAATAGGCTTTGGAGGAAAGGCACCATTTTTCATTAGACCTTTGTCCTGGGGTTAAGCATCTCTATTTAACTGAGAAGATTTAATACACCCTCACTAGAGAAGTCTCGTTTTTAAAACCTTCCTTGCTACATGAGGTCAAAAAGTCTCTGGCTTTTATTACTTTGCTCAACATTTATGGATCCTTTCTATTCCCTTACTTTTCTGCTTGAAAACTGATCAAATTACCTAACTTAATATATTGCTACAAATAAGCAACCTTGAAATATAATAACGTTCTGCCTCTTTACTACATTGTATGAGTCAATAAGCTTCCTTGAGCTTGATCTTATATATAACTACAACTAATAAATGTCTCATGACTAAAAAATTCATAAGTCCATTTTTTTCAGTTTATGAAAATTTCTGCTCACCTCCGGTGATATTTTCTCATAGGAAAGCAGTGGCAGTTAAGTCAATAACACATAGTTTGGAGTTTATTTATGACTTTATACCATTTTGGACACTAATTCTTTATTACTACATTTGAAATATGCATTCTTAGAGAATGTTATGTAAGGGCCAACTTTCTCAAGACTATTTGTCACTATAAGTTAGTGCTTTCTGAACTCGTTTTCTTTTTGCTATAAATTATAGCAAAAATTAATTTATGTGATCATACAAAAAGCACAAGTGCAAATCTACCCCGTAGGACATGTCCAGTCTGGGATGTAACTGGTAAAATTATCTGTGTGATGTAAGTACTCTTAAATTTCTTACATATTGATTCTTTACCATAGATTTTAGAAATTTGCTTGAAAATTTCTTAGTATTTAGTGAAGGCATATGTGACAGGCTAATCATTTGAGAACTAATAGCATGATTTTAGTGTCTTGATTATTATGTTATGCTTATTAAATAATTAATAAATTGAAAGTAATAATTATTCTATGGCAACTATTTTACATAACATTACATATCCATTGTTTTACTTAGAATTTATACTACGTGTTACAGTGCAGACACATTTGTTGCAACTTAAATATTTAAGTGTTAATAAGAATCAAACATAAGCAATAAGAATAGCATTTATATTATTAGTTAATATTTTAAAAGGATGTTATAAATATAACAACCATTAAAAAGAATACAATCTTATAATTAGAGCACTGAGTTTTCTGTTTTAAATAGACAATGGCATTATGTAACTTCTGAAAATTTAAAACATCACAGAAGTCTCTGCTTATCTGGCTCATATGTGTGTGCAAGAGCATTGGACAGGGAACAAATTCCCAAAGCTGATTAGCAAGCCAAAATAGAATACTATTGCAGTTCCCCTTAAACAGCTATTAAGTAAAAGGAACATACAAAACTTGAAACTTACAATGCAAAGATTTGTTGCTTTGCTTCTTTACATTTGTTCTGTGGCTTCTGAACTTATAACTTATTATCTTTTTTCTCTTTAAGGCCTGTTAATAGAACAACATACGAGCATAACATTGTGTGGAAGATGCTGAAGACAATTCCAGACTTGGCCTCCCGGCTAAACAACGAACATCTGAAAATACTTAGCAAGAATATGATTTCTGAATGCTGGGTCAAAGGCAGCATAGGTAACAGACTAATGTAGTGAACACCTGGCAGGGGGAAGTGTTCATTCCTATGTTGATTTTTCTATCATTACAATGTCTATGATTTTACTTGACATTTTAAAAGTAAAAAAAAAAGTATAAAATTATCCTCTATTCCATGTGAGATTAGTAGTGAGATGAATAGTACCTCATGTTTTAGTATATAAGGTTAAGATATACACCAATGTGGTTCTACTTTGAGCATGCAATATCCAAATTACTCAAACTACTCAATGGAACACATATTGGTGAGCTTAAATTCCAGAATTTCTGATTCAATAAACATGGGATGCCACCTAAATTGCATTTCCAATAATGTATCAGTAGATCTTACTACGTTCTTTTTAAGGCCTGTTAATAGAAAAACACATGAGCATAACATTGTGTGGAAGATGCTGAACACAGTTTCAGACTTGGCCTCCTGGCTAAATGACGAACATCTGAAAGTACTTAGCAAGAATATGATTTCTGAATGCTGGGTCAAAGGGAGCATAGGTAACAGACTAATATAGAGAACATAAAAATCTGGTAAAAATCTGGCAGTGGTTCTCCTTGTGAAGATAGCAAATGAGTGCAATGATTGTTTTCCAGTACTAGTACTGTTCTACATATTAGATAAGAACTCTCTAGACTGATTTTAGTTTTCTAGTTGCAGTATTGAGTCTCTTTGCCAAAGTATTGAGTCTGTTTTCCAGATATAGCAGGTATGTTAATAGAAATTCATATATTTTAATGGGGGAAGTATATAACGTGTGTGTTGCATATATCAGGGGCATCTGTTTTTTTATTCATCTAAAAATAAAAATAGATATTATTATTTTTTCCACAGATGAGAACACCCAAGATACAAAAATATCATTCAGAGAAATCTTGATTATCACTCAGTTTCAAATACACTTCAGCTAATGAGAAGCTCATTTCCTGTGCATTATGTCACTACTGTTTCTAAAAGTGGTTCATCAGGATCATGACATTTAAAAACTAACTGGAATTTTGGAGAACGTGTCCCTTTGAAAAGATTTACATATTTTAAGAGTTTTCCCCCAATGGTTTTCTCTCATAATTAGTTCCATTTAATCAGAGTCAAGCAGTGAAAAATAAATCAAAAGAGTTTTCCAAAGATTAAAATGCCTTTAACATAATAAAAGAACAAGTATTCAACATTGCTTTGCCTTTAGCTTGAGGACAGCAATTAAAAATTAATTTGTTTCATAAGATATGAAATTATGTTTAAAGTGGTAAGAAATTTTAGATCAAGCTAAATGTCTTCAGTAGCGTACTGACTGCAAACATTGTGATACATCTATTTTCCAGACATGGTTGAAAAACATGGTACGTCTGTATCTGTGTGTACATCATCTATGTCTGTCTATTTATCATCTACATATGTATATATTTAGTGCTTAAAAACATAAATGTAGTAGAGAAAAATAGAACACTTGAAGGATTATATAAATATTATATACTCACACACATCCTTGCTTCTAAATACGAAGGAATGGGCCCAGGAAGTTGTTCCAAGAAAATATTGTAAATTCACATACTGCCTTATGAAGGGTAGTAGAATTGGAGGGTGCTACAGTTTGGTGTAGTTTGAGTGATCTCCCCTCCCAAATTCCATTGGGATTGAAGCTTGGGTCGCAGGGTGGTCTTGTTTAGAGGTGATGAACCTTCTCTACCACAGTGTGTCTTGGTGGGAGGTGCTGAGGTTGTTCGTGGTATGTGGTACTCCTGTGGAAGCTTTTGGCTCTTGTGGAGTATTATAAAAGAGGAAAACTTGCTCTTTTCATCTGTTGTCCTTCATTTTCATATTTGAGAATTTAGTGTTCTTATTATTGTGATTTGATGTCTTAGTCTCCTTATCAGAGATTAAATAAATGGAGTTTCTTGAAATTTGGCACTTCAACCTACAAGCTGTGACTTATGTAGAACTTTCTCTTCTCTTCATAAAATCACCCTCCTTATTTTGTTTGTAGTAACAGAGCTAAAAGGCAATAGAGAGGAATAATTCATATTGTACATATATTTGTGTTGGTTTCATGTTTTCATAATGAATGGAGATTCATGTGTAAGTGTATATACATATTTTTTTGAAGAAAGCTCTATAATTCCAATTAGAAGCGAGCATTTTATTCTGATGACATCATAATAACTTATTAACTATTCAAATGTGACTCTCAGTAACAAATTATCAACTTTAATGTGATTATTTACATTACATAAAGCACTTGAGCTAGCATTTCAGTAGGGCGTAATTTCAATGATTTTTAGAACCCTTAGAAGGCTCTGTGTTTACCTGTAGTTTGTAAGATGTCTAGCCCCGTTTCACTGTCAAAGCAGTCAACTCACTAAATACTTGACCTTTGTAGATATCTTTGTTCATCCAACTTAAGAAACAAGCCCAAGGAGGTGTCTGCTTTGTCTCCCTTTTCTTTATTCATGGATATGTTTCCTTCCCTCTGCTGTAGTTAAAAGTATTCCCTTATGTAGGCCCTCAGCAGCAGGCTGCTGACTTTCAATCTGCTGCAGAGGTTTTGCCTTCTCTGGGGGCAACTCCACACAGCTGTTGGTACCTTCTGGTCTCCCTCCTGGCCACTTGTTCTTCAGAGCTCAATTATTGAACGAAGCTTCCCGAACTTATCCTCCCAGGCTCTTACACATTCAGCTTTTGTAAACAATATGGTGCTAACAAGGAAACAATATTATGATTTTCAAAGCAGTAAATTAAACATATTTCAGGTTTAAGTAATTATTTACTGTACAATACTTACTATTTTACATAATTCATTTACACTATGATTGCTATATATAAATTACATATATTAGAGTTACTACTTATAAGAGCCATATCTATGCAGAAATCAAAGTAAAGCAGAGTTTACTGAAGTCAAATAATCTCAAGGGATTTCCATTGGATCTTAAATAATGATATGGTAACTTAATTTTTTTAAGATTGCCAACTGCATGAAAACTAAAAAATAAAAATTTTCTTAAAATCTTAATTTAGTAACTAACCTGGAACTGAACTCCATATAAAAATTTCCTTATAATTTACCTTCACTTTTCTATTCAAACAAGCTTAGCAAGGTCCTGTTTCTGATCACTGGTATTAAACAACCTTCTATAAAATGAAGAATGTATATATAGTTTTATATTTATATTGTATTTGCTGTTATCTTTACTAAAATTCCATTAAATTTTAAAGTATATTTCTTTTCTAGTTCTTCTGTTAAGTTTTATTTTTATGTGTTTCTGTTTGGTAATAGATCGAAGATTCCTTAATATAGTTTGATAAGATTTGTATTTTTTAATGCTGAAAATATTTTATACAACTGAATTTTAATATTTCCTTTACTTGCATTAAAAATTTTGTCCTATGGTTTATTTCTCATGTAGCATATAAAAATATAGTAGCAAAGTCTCATGGAAATGTAGTGTGAATCTTTTTCATATGTAAATTAATCAAAATACAAATAATACACTCACAATAAAAGTAACAAATTTATTTCTTTTCTTTCTTTTTTTCTTCTTTTTCTTCTTTTTTTTTTTTTTTTTGGCAGAACCAGGGATTGAACTCAGGCCCTCGTGCTTGCCAGGGAAGAGCTTATTCCACTGAGCCATCTCTCCAGCCACAAATTTATTTCTATGGTAAAGACCATGGTTTTCTTAAAAGGCATGCATGTCCTTGAAAGATATACTTGGATCTTAAAGCAATTATATACTTTCTTTGTCATTGTTTTTTTTTACGATAGTAAAAGCTATTACTAACAAAAGAACAATTTTAAAATTGAACTATTGTTTATTTTAAATACATTATATAATTTCCTAGCATTTAAAATATCACAAAGGTGTATCTCAGTGCTGCAAAGGGATCAATATCGTGTTTTTTTGGGTAAATTCACGTAATTAATCCTTTAGGAAAAACAGTTTAAATGAAGGAATGAAAATTTTTAATGGAAAAATAGAGGCCTTGACTCTAATATGTGTGGCACAGAGGTGGAAACATACTGTGAAGCTCAGACTCATAGTGATCCTCGTTTTCAGCCTCCGCAGTGCTGGGACTGCAGGCATCTACCACCACACGTAGTCTCAGAAAATTTAATTTTAAAGGTTAAATATTGATAGCTTTAAAGATATTGAATTGATAACTAAGAAGTTATAAAGTTATAAATTTTATTTTTATAAAATCTACAGATATGGAATGTAAGTACATTTAAAATAATTTGTAATGCCCAATATTATCATAAGATGAAAACATAGTCAATATGCAAAGCATTAATCAATATAACTTCCCAAATAGTAGAGCTTACACTGCTGGGTATTGATCATTTTCCCCTTGCATTTGTGCAACTTACTGGGAGCTGTACAAAAGTTACTGCTGCCCAGCATGTTGAGAGACTATCATATGGCATTCTGATAGCCTGGAAATAGATTGAAATTCAAAATTATTATGTGTGTGATGGATTTTCACTTTGCTCATCTTTCCCATCTGACTTGGATGAGTAGACTAGCTTTAAAAATTGATGCATTTTCAGGTTATATTAATCAATATCCTGTGACCTGACACCCTACACTGGATGATTTAATTGGTAGTGTCCTTGTAGAAAATGGACCTCCAGAACAAACTCATCATATGGCAAAGTCATTTACAAACAATTTGATTTATTTTTGAAAGCTTGTTTGGAGTTTCTATGAGGAGAATGTAGCTACCTGTGTATGTTTGACAGAAGAATGATCCTGCTCTATCAGGGGTGCTTGTCCTCTTTGACCAAGCACGCAGATTCTGGAGGGACACACATGGACCACTGAGGGAGGAAAGGAACACCTATCTGGCGAGCTAGATCGGCCAAGTCAACTCTGGTGATCAGTGGGGTGACAGATGTCACAGCCTGATTAGCCTCATACCCACAACTGGATTTATTCTTATCTCCACTTTCATCCTTTCCACTGCAAGATTTCTCCAGTCACCTCTCCTTTTAATT